AGTGGGGGGAGGGGGGGTCTGAGACATAGATCCAACCCATAAGTGGGGATATGGGGGAGGATCTGCCCCATAAGTGGGGGTAGGTGGGGTCTCTGACCCATAGATCAGCCTTATAAGTGGGGATGTGGGTTGGGGTCCGTGCCCCATAGCTCTGCCCCATAAGTGAGTTTAGGGGATGTGCGAGGTTATGGGATCCCTGCCCCATAGCTCCAACCCACAAGTTGGGTCCCTGCCCCATAGCTCTGCCCACAAATGGGATTATGGGGTCTGTGGGGTTCCGGGGTCTGTGCCCCGTAGCTCCACCCCATAAGTTATGGGGTCGCTGCCCCACTCTTGTAGGGTTCTGACTGAGCTGGTGTCGAAGATGCGCGATATGAGGATGGACAAAACGGAGCTGGGCTGCCTGCGCGCCATCATCCTCTTCAACCCCGGTTAATCTGGGGTTTGGGGTGGGATTATGGGGTTGTGGGGCGGGATTATGGCGTGTGGGGTGGGATTATGGGGTTAGGGTGTGAGATTATGGGGTTAGGGGGTGGGATTATGGGGCACAGAGGTGAAATTTTGGGATATAAGGAAGCAGGGCTGCCTGCGCGCCATCATCCTGTTCAACCCTGGTTAATCTGGGTTGTGGGGTGGGATTATGGGGTTGTGGGGTGGGATTATGGGGTTCTGGGGTGGGATTATGGCTTGTGGGGTGGGATTATGGCGCTAGGGGGTGAGATTATGGGGTTTGGGAGTGGGATTATGGGGCACAGAGGTGGGATTATGGGGTATAATGGAGCTGGGCTGCCTGCGCGCCATCATCCTCTTCAACCCTGGTTAATCTGGGATTTGGGGTGGGATTATGGGGCACAGAGGTGGGATTAAGGGGTTAAGGGTGGGATTATCCCAATCCCCAATCCCTTAATCCCCTCATCCCAATCCCCTAATCCCACAATCCTCTAATCACAATCCCCTAATCACAATCCCTAATCACCATAATCCCAATCCCCTAATCCCAATCCCTTAATCCCACAATCCCCTAATCCCAAAATCCCCTAATCCCAATCCCTTAATCCCCTAATCCCAAAATCCCCTAATCCCAATCCCTTAATCCCCTAATCCCAATTGCCTAACCCCAATCCCTAATCCCAATCCCTAATCCCAATCCCAATCCCTAATCCCACACTCCCCTACTCCCAATCCCTACTCCCAATCCCCTAATCCCAATCCCTAATCCCAATCCCCTAATCCCAATCCCAATCTCTAATCCCAATCCCAATCCCTAATCCCAATCCCCTAATCCCAATCCCTATCCCAATCCCTAATCCCAATCCCTAATCCCAATCCCTAATCCCCATCCCAATCCCTAATCCCTATCCCTAATCCCTATCCCTAATCCCTATCCCTAATCCCAATCCCTACTCCCAATTCCCTAATCCCACAATCCCCTAATCCCAATCCCAATCCCTACTCCCAATTCCGTAATCCCACAATCCCCTAATCCCAATCCCTAATCCTAATCCCAATATCCTAATCCCAATACCTAATCCCAATCCCTAATCCCAATCCCAATCCCTACTCCCAATCCCTACTCCCAATCCCCTAGTCCCAATCCCTAATCCCACAATCCCCTAATCCCAATCCCTAATCCTAATCCCAATCCCTAATCCCAATCCCTACTCCCAATCACAATCGCAATCCCTAATCCCAATCCCCTAATCCCAATCCCCTAATCCCAATCCCTAATCCCAATCCCAATCCCTAATCCCTAATCCCAATCCCAATCCCTAATCCCAATCCCTAATCCCAATCCCTACTCCCAATTCCCTAATCCCACAATCCCCTAATCCCAATCCCAATCCCTAATCCCAATCCCTAATCCCAATCCCAGTCCCTAATCCCACTCCCAATCCCTAATCCCAATCCCTAATCCCAATCCCAATCCCTGATCCCTAATCCCAATCCCTAATCCCAATCCCAGTCCCCAATCCCAATCCCCTAATCCCTAATCCCAATCCCTAATCCCAATCCCAATCCCAATCCCTAATCCCAATCCCACCCGCAGACGCCAAAGGTCTGTCGAACCCCGGCGAGGTGGAGGTGCTGCGGGAAAAGGTTTACGCGGCGCTGGAGTCCTACTGCAAACAGAAATACCCCGAGCAGCAGGGAAGGTGGGAAACCCCACAGCCACCCGAAACCACCCAAAACCACCCAAAAGGACCCAAATCTGGGGCTTTTTGACCCAAAATCCCCACCAGGTTCGACCCCAAACCCAAAAAACGCCCGAAAGTTGGGGGTAGAACGGGAGGAAAAAGGGCAAAGATTGGCACGGAGCTGCAAAAATTGGCACCAAAATTGGCAGAAAAATGCCAAGTTTGACCCAAAATCCCAAAAATTGTCCCCAAATTGCCCCCAAAAAATGCAAAATTTGACTCGAAACTCCAAATTCTGACACCAAAATGGCCTAAAAATTCCCCCAAATTTCAACTCAACCCCCCCAGGTTTGACCACCAGAAAGCTCAAATTCGACCCCAAACATCAGGCTTTGATCCCAAAGCCCCCAGATTTGACCCCAAAAGCCCCAAATCCACTCAGAGCCTTCTTCAAAATAACCCAAAATGACTCAAATTTGGGGGTTTTTGACCCAAAATCCCCACCAGGTTTGACCCCAAACCCAAAAAACGCCCAAAAGTTGGGGGTAGAATGGGAAAAAAAAGGGGAAAGATTGGCACGAAACTGCAAAAACTGGCAAAAAAATTGGCAAGTTTGACCCCAAATCCCAAAAATTGGCCCCCAAATTTGTCCCCAAAATGCAAAGTTTATCCCAAAATCCCGAAAATTCACCCCAAAATGCCTTAAAAAATCCCCTAAGTTGGACCGAAAATGCCACAAATTGGCCCCAAAATGGCCCCAAAAGATCTCGAAGTTGGACTGAAATCCCCAAATTTTGAGTCCCAAAATGCTCAAATTTGACCCCAAACCTCAAATGCTGACCTCAAAAGACCTCAAAAAACCCCAAATGTGACCCCAAAACCCCAAACGTTGGCCCTGTAACCCCCAAAGTTCAGCCCCAAAAAACCCAAACTTTGACCTCAAAACCCCAGATCTCGACCCAAAGAGCCCCAAATCCACTCAGAATCTCCCCCAAAATGACCCAAAATGACCCAAATTTGGGCATTTTTGACCCCAAATCCCCACCAGGTTCGACCCCAAATCTAAAAAACGTCTGAAAGTTGGGGGTAGAACGGGAGGAAAAAGGGCAAAGATTGGCACAGAACTGCAAAAATTGGCACCAAAATTGGCAAAAAAATTGCCAAGTTTGACCCAAAAGCCCCAAATTTGGCCCAAAAAAGCCTCAAATCTGACCCAACTACCCCAAATTTGATCGCGCATCCCAAAGATTGACAAAAATCCCCCAAAATTGATCCCTTCAGCTCCAAACTTTGATCCCCCCAAAAAACAAATTTGACCCAAAAGTTCAAAATTCACTCAGAACCCCTCCAAAAGAAACCCCCAGAATGACCCAAAATTGTGCTTTTTCACCCCAAAACTGCCGCAGATTCACTCCTATCCCCCCCTAGAAGTTGGACCCCAAAATCTCAAGGGTTGACCCCAGAATCCCCTCCAAAAACCTCAAATTTGACCCAAAACCTCAAAATTTCACCCCCAAAATCCCCCCGTAAGCCCCTCCCTGCAAAAAAAAAAAAATTCCCTCCCCAAAATTCTGCTTTTTCACCCCAAAACTTCCCTCAGGTTTGCTCCTATCACCCCTGAAACCAAAAAAAATTGGACTCCAAAATCCCCCCCAAAAACCTCAAATTTGACCCCAAACCCCAAAGTTTCACCCCCCCAAAAGCCCCCTTACCCCTCCATCCCCCCCGAAAACAACCCAAAAAGACCCAAAATTGTGTTTTTTCACCCCAAATCCCCCCTCAGGTTCGCCAAGCTGCTGCTCCGTCTGCCGGCTCTGCGCTCCATCGGCCTCAAATGCTTGGAGCACCTCTTCTTCTTCAAGCTCATCGGGGACACCCCCATCGACACCTTCCTCATGGAGATGCTCGAGGCTCCCCACCAGCTGGCCTGACCCCCCCGCCATCCCATAATACCACCCTATAATCCCATAATCCCAGTCCTGACCCCGTAATCCCGATCCCGTGGTTCGTTTCTCCCATTTCGGGTCACGGAAATCGGCCTCGTGTCATGAAAATGGACTCTAATCAGGAGCTCAAAGACAGAATGCCATCCCATAATACCACAATCCCACCCTGTAATCCCATAATCCCCATTCTGACCCCATAATCCCAATCCTGACCCCATAATCCCAATCCCGTGGGTTTTTCTCCCAATCCCGGGTCACGGAAATCGGCCTCATGTCATGAAAATGGACTCAAATCCGGAGTGCATGGATGGGATTCCATCCCATAATACCACGATCCCACCCCGTAATCCCATAATCCTGATCCTATAATCGCATAATCCCAGTCCTGACCCCATAATCCCAGTCCTGACCCCATAATCCCAGTCCTGACCCCATAATCTCAATCCCGTGGTTCGTTTCCCCCATTTTGGGTCATGAAAATGGTCTCCACTCCAGAGTGCATGGATGGGATTCCATCCCATAATACCACGATCCCACCCCGTAATCCCATAATCTGGATCCTATAATCCCATAATCCCAGTCCTGACCCCATAATCCCAGTCCTGACCCCATAATCCCAGTCCTGACCCCATAATCTCAATCCTGTGGTTTGTTTCCCCCATTTCGGGTCATGAAAATGGTCTCCCCTCCAGAGTGCATGGATGGGATTCCATCCCATAATACCACGATCCCACCCCATAATCCCATAATCCCAATCCCGACCTCATAATCCCAATTCCAATCCCATAATCCCAATCCCATAATCCCAATCCCAATCCTATAATCTCAATCCCAATCCTATAATCCCAATCCCAATCCCATAATCCCATTCCCATAATCCCAATCCCATTCCCATAATCCCAATCCCAACCCCATAATCCCAATCCCAATCCTATAATCCCAATCCCATAATCCCAATCCCATAATCCCAATCCCATAATCCCAATCCCAATCCTATAATCCCAATCCCAATCCCATAATCCCAATCCCATAATCCCAATCCCATAATCCCAATCCCAACCCCATAATCCCATACTCCCAGCCCCATAATCCCATAATCCCACCCCATAGTCCCATAATCCCAGCCCATAGTCCCATAATCCCAGCCCATAATCCCCAAAATAAATCCCTCACGGCCCTTTAAGACCCCCCCCATTTTTAGGGGATCCACCCACCCCCAAAAAATCTGCAATATCCCT